CCATTCTGTAATACAGTGACCAGAACTGAGCAGCATAGTCTAAATGAGGCCTAACCAAGGATATATAGAGTTGAAGAATAACCTGAGGACTTCTATTAGGTATACTTCTAGATATGAAGCCAAGAATTCAGTTAGCTTTATTGCAAACACTAATGCACTGTTGTCTTGCTTTTAGATTACTGCTAACCAGAACTCCTAAATCCTTTTCGCAATCAGTAGTATTAAGATCTACATTATTTAGTTTATATGTGGCATGGTTCATTACCTGTCCAACATTTAGAACTTTGCATTTGTCAATATTAAACTGCATCTGCCACTCCTCCGACCATTGCATCAGTCCATTCAAATCATCCTGGAGTGCTCTAGTGTCTTCATTAGAATGAATTGGACGGCTTATTTTGGTGTCATCAGGAAATTTGCTTATGTCGCTATTTATTCCCTCATCTATGTCGTTTATGTAAATTATGAACAATAACGGGCCCAACACTGACCCTTGCGGAACACCGCTTGTGACGTGCCCCCATTCTGATTTCTCCCCATTTATGCAAACTCTCTGCTGCCTATTTGTCAGCCATGCCTCTACCCAGGAAAAAATTTCTCCTCCTATTCCGTGTGCCTTAAGTTTCCTCTATATCCTCTGGTGTGGAACTCTATTGAAAGCCTTACTGAAGTAGATATACACAATATCATATTCATTACCATGATCTACCTCCTCAAAAACCTTAGTGAAAAAAGTTAGTAAATTCATAAGACAGGAACACCTCTTTGTAAAACTGTGTTGAGATTCATTAATCAATCTGTGCCTATCAAGATGGCTACGAATTGCTTCGGCAATTATTGATTCCTTAAATTTACCTACTATGGAGGTAACGCTTATTGGTTTATAGTTCGAAACCAAGTACCTGTTACCTGCCTTGTAAATAGGTATTACGTTTGCCATTTTCCACTTTTCAGTCACTGTGCCAGTTTGTAGAGATATGTTAAAAAGATTAGCCAACGGTATGCTAAGTTCCTCTTTTCATTCGTTTAACACCCATACAAACAGTTCATCAGGACCTGGGGATTTGTTAGTTTTTAGTTTCTCTATTTGTCTGAGGACCATGTCACTATTACTGCAATCGGCATTTTTAACATACCCTTTTTCTACATAATTATTATTTCAGGAATATCGCGGTATTTTCCTGGGGAAAAACTGAGAGGAAAGTAGGTATTGAAATTTCACAATACCTTATCACTGTCGTGATCTACCAAGTTTCTTTTAAAAGTTCCAATTTGGCCCAAATCTTATTTCTTTTACCTGAAAAACCCTTTTGGGTTAGTCTTTGAATCCTTGCCCCTTTGGCCTCATAATCCCTTTTTTTTGCTTTTTTTATTCCTTTTTTTATTTCTCTTTTTAAATTTTAAATATTGATTTCTTAACTCCCATCCCCTTTGATACGCCAAAATATCCTCTTTTTGCCCAAATGAAATGTTTTAATCTATTTTTCATCCATTTGGAAATTTTTTTGTTAGATCTAATTTCCCTATTGGAAAAAAATTTATCGGGGCAGCTAGAACTTCTCTAAAAAACCTCATTGGCAACCAAGATCACCTCCTCCCCTATCAGGACACCCCAATTTAACCCCCCCAGGAAATTTTTCAGCCCCTGAAGTCGACCAGGGGAAAAAGGGGCAAAGATTTGATTTCATTTTCTGGGTAATTCCATATATATTAAAACTAATGAATTGTGACACTTTCCCCAACCACATTTAAACCCCAAATTATTAAATTTGTGAATTTTTTTGTTGGCAAGAACTAATCAAGCAGACTGTTTCCTCTAGTTGGTTCTGTCACAACCTTTCCCAAAAACAATCCTGAACCGTATCAAGAAAGTCATAGACCAAGATTTCCCGTCAATTTTTCCAATCAAATTTTTCTAAAGTTAAAATCTCCCCATTAACACAACATTTTCATATCTAGATTCCTTAGAATTTGTCCCATAACAGCTTATGCACTCCATATCAAGGTTTGGGGGCCCAAAATCACACCCAAAAATTAATTTTTCACTCCCTCGACAAAATGTAGCCAAAAAGATTCTGGTTTTGATGTTTCTAATCTTTTATCGTCTAAGACAACAATTTAATTTACTCTGGCATATTCCCACTCCACCACCCTTCCGTTGACCCCTTTAGTGGGAATAGTTTATAATCCTTAGTTTCTTCAGAAGGCATTTCCTATCTTTAGGTTTTAACCGGTTTCGTTAACAATAATACTATAATACCTACATTTGCAAGTAATCTTAGCTCATCTGTCTTATTTTTGATTCCTACATTTTATAGAAAACCCTTAAGGGAGCTAGTCTCTCGTTGCCCTCTACTATCTCTCTTTGTTTGTTGATCAATTGATTTGCCATTACTAGCAACTTTATTTTTAATATTGTCTTTTAAACATATCTCTGAGGTATCCCGGTAATAACTGCTGTTTTTAACCCTAATGCTGCAGCCTGATTGTTTCCCACAAACACCCATACCACTATAATCTATCAGTTTAAATTCATAGACAAGTCATCAATTACCCTCTCAATCGAATTGGCTATTGCAACCACTCCATCTTCAGAGAGATGAACCCCATCCGTTGCATATATATCACGTTTGCCAAAGAATAGGTCCCAGTTATCAATGAATGGGATTGCAAGTTCCTTGCAGTACCTGTCAAGCCAGCAATTTATACCAATTGCCCTAGACATCCATTCATTGCCCACTCCCTTTCTAGGCAAGATGCTACATATGACTGGGATCCCTCCCTTAGACCTGAAGATTGAGACACTTATGCAGCATATGGGAATCTTTATTCAGGAAACGTTTCGCCACACAGTGGCTTCATCAGTCCAATACAAAGAGGAAGGCGTAAGGAGAGGAGGAGTATGAGGTAATCAGTCCCTCAGCCTGGAGTCGATGTGTTCAGTCCATCAATCTTGTAGAATGTACAGCATAGGGCCGTAGACGTGGCTTATATACTGTAGTGAGGTGACTTAAAGCAGACGGAGGCGGGATCATAGTGGTACCATCCACTAGTCGAAGTAGGTCTTTGTCCAAAGGTTGAACAAGCGTTGAAGAATTCTTTGTAAGAAGATCCCATGATGCTGCAGTGTCAGACACTGTCAGACACTGTCAGACACTGCAGCATCATGGGATCTTCTTACAAAGAATTCTTCAACGCTTGTTCAACCTTTGGACAAAGACCTACTTCGACTAGTGGATGGTACCACTATGATTCCGCCTCCGTCTGCTTTAAGTCACCTCACTACAGTATATAAGCCACGTCTACGGCCCTATGCTGTACATTCTACAAGATTGATGGACTGAACACATCGACTCCAGGCTGAGGGACTGATTACCTCATACTCCTCCTCTCCTTACGCCTTCCTCTTTGTATTGGACTGATGAAGCCACTGTGTGGCGAAACGTTTCCTGAATAAAGATTCCCATATGCTGCATAAGTGTCTCAATCTTCAACTTGTCGGTTTTTCAAACCATTCATCCCTTAGACCTAACTACTTCTATGGCTGACCTGTACTTATCCAGCAGCTCCTCTCTCCTGCCCTTCCCAATATCATTACCCCCTGCACTTGTTATGGGCTTGTTCCCATTACCTGCCATAATATTATCCAACCTGCTGACTATGTCACCAGCACCAGTTCCAGGAAGGCACACTCTCTGTCTGACCTTTCTGTCTCTGTTACAAAATGCACGGTCCATATATCTTACCTGAGAATCGCCTACTATAAAAATATTCTTACCTTGATTAGCAGATAGGGTAGCTAATCAATAATATTTGCAAGACTATGTATGTATAATATTTATCATTTAGAAAACGGATGTTTTTTTTATTATAGATCTGTGCAGGAGGTCGTGCTGGTCAGGACTCTTGTAGAGGAGATTCGGGTGGCCCTCTGATTATGTCCGGTCCTCAAGGTCCACCGTTTCTGCAGATTGGTTTGGTTTCATATGGCCCGTCACCCTGCGGTGCCAGGCCAGTGCCTGGTGTTTATACCTCTATTAGTCACTACAGGAACTGGATTGAAAATAATATGAAACCCTAGGGTACAACACCGTACTGAAAAAATACTTCAGTTAAATTATTACCAAAAATATTAATATTCTATATAGAAAATTTTGCTACAAGTGAAGCACTCGCCTGTGACTGTACTACTAATAATGTGCTTGAAAACTAATTATCAGTGAGCATTAAACAATATTTATTCAGTACTACTTTTTATTATTCTTGGATTTTTTTATTCTTGGAATTTATAAACTGTATAGACAGGCAAATAATCAGGACATTCTTGAGATAATTGCTAATATTCCTAAGTTCAATAATTTTAATTATTTTTGGCAATGTCTTGTACCTTGTCACTAAAGAATAATGCATAACAAATACATTATAGTATTTGAACTTTCAGAAAAACTTGGCATATACAATACATCTTTTGTAGTGATAAATGAAATTCAGAGGAAGACTATGAAAAAGAATTTGTATATAATACAGTAACAAGATTCTGGTGAAAGAAAATAAAGCAGTTTATAATCTATGAGAAAGATTAGTTTTATTTTTCAGCTTCTTGCCTTGCTATTTCCTACAGTATTTTCTTAGTAAATATGGTACATTTATAAAATTTGAAGTATATAATAAAATAACACATTGAGACTTATATATAAACAGTAATTTAAACATCATTGAATGCTCAGTATTTCATAAAATTTAATATAAGCATTATCGAGGTCACTTGCTTTATGCACAATGTTTACCTCCGAAAACTAAATTATGAAATTGTCTTCAGTGTAAATTGCAATTTATCTGCTGGAATTACTGAACTGTAATTGAAAGATTTATGTTTGCAATTCTTCTACTAGGAAATGCTAGGAATGCTCTAGTTGATAAAATTCATGCAGCGCGCACATTCATCTATGTTAAATGAAACCCAAGTGTAATTTTAACAAAATAAATAGAATATAAATTAATGGCGTGCCTTCATTTACAGAGAATTTTTTTTAGGATATCGGATTTACAAGTATGTTAAGGTCGATAAAGGAATCCAGCAGCCAAGTGAATTCTCTCTATTAATGAAGTCACTTGACCTTCTGTCTCCTTCCTCGCATCGAATCTGAATACCCTCACCCCTTCTCGCATGTTTTGTATCTGTGAATTTGTCCCTTCATTATTTACAGGTAATAGACTGAGAGAAAATGGATCGTTGTCCGCACCATTGTGTTGAGGCTCCCTAGTGGTGGTATTTGCTTTGGGAATGGGGATCATGTAGGGATGCGCTGTGCTGCCCTCTTGAGTTCCGGAGGGCGACTTCGCGTTTCCTTAACGTGGCAAGTGTATCTCTGGAGGCTATCTGTCGGATCCGGGAGGTGGGAACTAGAGGGGTATGCCACTTGACGGGTTTCCGGTCACCCATATCTTTTCGGCTTGGTGAATACTAGGTGGCTCGTGGATGCTAGATGGCTCGTGGATGCGTTGTGGCTCGTGGATGCGTTGAGGCTCAGTGGATGTGTGGTGGCTCGTGGATGCTAGATGGCTCGTGGATGCGTTGTGGCTCGTGGATGCGTTGTGGCTCAGTGGATGTGTGGTGGCTCGTGGATGCGTGGTGGCTCGTTGAATGTGAAGTGGCACGATGGGTACTAGGGTGTCAACCAGGATTGATGGTCTACTGGCTTGCAGGTTAGGATGGTGAGGCAGTGTCCATGCAACATCAGCACTACCAGCTGTGCGAGGGTATTCTTCGCCGGCAAGGGACATATAAGGTCTCTTTTTGTATCTTGACTCTAAAACCCGTAATAACACGATTACTAACTAATCACTTAAGTGATAAGGCTCGAATCCATGGCAGGCGTATCTTAACTCGCAGTACAATGTGCTCAACCATGGTTCATACATGGACCAGTGGTTAAGCACATCCCGTTCACTAATCTTTTTGCATTTCCTCGTAGCTTCTGTCCTCACCTCCTTTTATGAAAGAGAAGAAAAGAAAAATCTTTTACCGTGGACGATCGTATCCATGATTTAACATCTCCCTTACCCTTTCTGCTGCAACCTTATCAGATGCTGGCCCCTCAAGGGAGGTTCCTTGATACTGGTGAGGGGCTGTTGATCTAGGGAATTAGATCTGTGCTCCGGTTCCCTGAATTGAGTCTGAATACCTTCCATCCCCCAACATGCGCTGTATAACCCTACGGGTTTAGCGATTCCCTGTGATTATTATAATAATAATAATAATAATAATAATCAGATGCTGGCACTCCAACGGACCTTACTGCCCCGGTACTGCCTTTGAGCAACACTTACTTCCCTGGCTTTTGTTCTGCAGTTCCAACTGACCCTTTTGATACTTTTGATCTTCGCTGGACTTTAACCATGGATGGCGAAACGTCTACAATAAAGATATCCAGATGTTGCACATGTGTCTTAACTTTCATATTGTCTGTATTTTATACCTTTCTTGCACAGAGTTGTAACTTAATAAAACATTAAGTAAGTATTTTTATAATTTATTAGGCAAATAGACAATGTCAAAAGCAGAGATGGAACTTGTTTCCAAACAAAAAAATATAAAGGTGAACCAAAGAGCAACATGGACACATTGCAAAGAGATAAAACTTGCAATTCCCATTTTCATGAACTTCCTGAGATAGAACAATCATTCTAGATGACTGTTTTCTAGAATGAAAGGCTATGAAGCAATTTTTCCCTTGTTGTTGCATAGATGTTTCCAATGTCTGAGCTTGAAGAGCAAGTTCATCATGATGATCTTCACGGTATTCCTCGATTCTAATACCTTTCCTTTCCCTTGGCTAATTTAGGCATTTTTGGATGGCCTATCTTCTTCCTCATCATCACTTAACACATGTGCATCTGGTGACAAGTATTTACCACTACTGTCAAGAAATTCCAGGTCAACTCTCTCTGGTTCTGAGTCACTTTCATTAAAAACAGATATATTTGGATTTCTGTGTGGAGGCAGCACCATAAAACAATTTCTCATTGATTTGGAAGGACAATAAGAACATAAGAACATAAGAAAGGAGGAACACTGCAGGAGGCCTGCTGGCCCATACTAGGCAGGTCCTTTACAATTCGTCCCACTAACAAAACATTTGCCCAACCCAATTTTCAATGCCACCCAAGAAATAAGCTCTGATGTGAAAGTCCCACTCAAATCCAACCCCTCCCACTCATGTACTTATCCAACCTAGATTTGAAACTACCCAAAGTCCCAGCCTCAATAACCCAACTAGGTAGACTGTTCCACTCATCAACTACCCTATTTCCAAACCAATACTTTCCTATGTCCTTTCTAAATCTAAACTTATCTAATTTAAATCCATTACTGCGCGTTCTCTCTTGGAGAGACATCCTCAAGACCTTATTAATATCCCCTTTATTAATACCTATCTTCCACTTATACACTTCGATCAGGTCTCCCCTCATTCTTCGTCTAACAAGTGAATGTAACTTAAGAGTCTTCAATCTTTCTTCATAAGGAAGATTTCTGATGCTATGTATTAATTTAGTCATCCTACGCTTAATGTTCTCTAACGAATTTATGTCCATTTTGTAATACGGAGACCAGAACTGAGCTGCATAATCAAGGTGAGGCCTTACTAATGATGTATAAAGCTGCAGTATGACCTCTGGACTTCTGTTGCTTACACTTCTTGATATAAATCCCAGTAATCTATTTGCCTTATTACGTACGCTTAGGCATTGCTGTCTTGGTTTAAGGTTGCTGCTCACCATAACCCCCAAGTCCTTTTCGCAATCTGTATGGCTAAGTTCTACATCATTTAATTTATAAGTACTAGGGTTATGGGCACTCCCAAGCTTCAGAACCTTGCATTTATCTGCATTGAACTGCATCTGCCACTTTTCTGACCAAGAATAGAGTTTGTTTAAATCCTCCTGAAGTTCCCTAACATCTACGTTTGAATCAATTATCCTACCTATCTTTGTGTCATCGGCGAATTTGCTCATATCACTAGTAATTCCCTCATCAAGATCATTGATATATATTATAAACAACAACGGGCCCAAGACTGATCCCTGTGGAACGCCACTTGTTACAGATCCCCACTCGGATTTAACCCCATTTATGGACACTCTCTGCTTCCTGTCAGTGAGCCATGACTCGATCCACGAGAGCACTTTTCCCCCAATGCCATAAGCTGCCACTTTCTTTAACAGTCTATGGTGCGGAACTCTATCAAAAGCCTTACTAAAATAAAAATATCCTGTACATACCCGAACCACTACTGAATTTACATATGCATTATCAAAATTAATATAAATATTTATTTACTGAAATTTATACTTCGACCTTGCAGGTCTGGTCCACAAATTTATTGGCATTTTTCCTTGCAGTTTTTCTTTCAACCGAGTGGTGCAGCCGTATTATGTGTCACACAGAATTTAATTGTTTATCAAAATATGTCTAAACTATTCATTTATGCACTACACACAAAAGCCAGAACTTACCTATATTGCAGTTGGGTGAAATCTAGGAGTATGTGAGTGTAACTCGAAGAAAAAACTGCTCTGGACGATGTCAATCAATGTGAAGCAAGCAGACGCCATTGCCACTTAGCTGGAGCAACTTGAAGCAGGCTTGTGATTGGTCAGAACTAGAAAATGGAAACCCAGATGCGCAGTGGGAGTAGGAAGACATGTTCAAAAAACACGCTTTGAGGCCAGTAAATTTATGGGCCTGCCCGACAGCAAATGACAGTAGACAGCAACTAAATTCATATCATAAGAGAGCATGCTTCACAGTCACTTCCAAAAACGACAATAAAAGAACAGGTAATATGACTGAACAGGGAAAGAAAGCTCACGAACTATATAAAAAGTCTGTGAATTTTAGCTAATGATAGAAAAAGATGTTATCTGGGGGGAAAGAGGGCAACACCAGAGTGCTAGGGAGAAAAGGATCAACGACAGGTATGTTCTACAGAAAATCAATGGAGATCTGAAAGAATGCAAATATAGTATCAAAACTTAATTTAAGAAAGAAGATAGACAGGAAACATTCACCTACAATCCAGTGTTACTGATATGTAAATCATGCAAATTCTTTAAGTTAATTGGGAAGATAATCAGGACAGTCGAAGAGCACTTGGTGAGGAATATCATTAACAATAAAACCAATATAGCTACAGACAGGTGGGAAGGGAAGATTACATTTATATTGGACTTCAAAAAGGCATTTGATTCCATACCTCTCATGAAACTGCAACAAAACTTGAGGTGCAGGTTGGAAGAACCAGGAATGTACTCAGATGAATCAAATGTGCCTTAGTAGTAATAAAGAAAGTTATTTTTCAGAAATAGGTGTCAGAAAGGGCAAGAACAGGTAGCAGAGATCTGGAAGGAATTTGATTTGGACCGGGTCTGTTTTGGATATATGTGAATAACATACCAAAAAAAATTAGGTCAGATACGCTGATGTCAGTGGTCACGTGTGGTCATTCCTGTCCTGAGCTGTCTGGGTATTAGCGTGGGGTGTTACCAAGCACCATGGCTTGTTGTAGTGTTTTAGAATCTCAGGTTAAAATGTTGAAGGAGTTCTACTTAAGTGGCAAGTGGTTCACAGTTCAGGAAGAAGGAAGATAAGGAGGGTTAATACAGAAGGAGTTAATAAAGAAGGAGGTAGGAAATCGATTCTCTATTTTCCAAAACGAGTGTACTTCAGTGGTTAGTGAGATTAAAGGTACCTCTGATTGTGGGAGACTCTCAGGTAAGATATATGGACCGTGCTTTTTGTAATAGAGACAGAAAAGTCAAGAGGAGAGTGTGCCTCCCAGGAGCTGGTGATAGTGACATAGTCAGTAGGTTGGATAATATTTTGTCAGGTAATGGGAACAAGCCCATTATCTGTCTTAGTGCTGGTGGAAATGACATTGGGAAGGGCAGGAGACAGGAGCTACTGCATAAGTACAGATCAGCCATAGAAGTAGTCAGG